ATCAGGATTTTCAATCTCCCCCGGAATTCTCTTAAGACTTGTATTATATTTCCATTAAAACTCTATCAGATTTCTATTACAATTAAGCCAAGCTAACGTGTTAGCCCGGTGTCCGGAGCCCCCAGACGGCAGCACTACGGGGGCAGCAGCAGGCAGGGTCCATCTCAGCCTGCCTCCGCCCTAAGACATCCAAGCTGAGCATGGGCTGGGAGGGATGGCGCCGGGAGGAGCGGGCTGGCAGCAGGCAGGGAGGCAGCGACCTGCCTCGTATACGCTCCTCACCCAGGACCACGCAGGGAGTGATGCAAAAGAGGGACCTGGGGCTCCCGCAGCCCTCTCTGAAGCATCATCCATTCACCGGGAGCCAGAGAGGCTTTGCTTGGGCAGGGAGGTGCCCCCGGCAATAAGGCAGCCTCGCAGTTGGTCTCAGTGGGTCTGAGCCCCCCCAGCCCTCCTACCTGCCCTGAACATCTCGGCTTATGTGCAGCTTTCCTCTGTAAAACCATAGCTTTGCTCAAAGCTTTTCCACCACTTGCTGGACAGAGTGGTAGTGAATTGTATAATTCATCAATAAATTATATTTTTTAAAAATGCCTGGTAGTCTCAGCTGTTTTCCACAGCCCGTTTTTACTGTCGAATGGTCTCTCAGGGTGTGATTCCCCCCATCTCGCTGTGCATCTGTTGCAGCCAGAGGCTCGCCCTGCCCTGAGATTTGGCTGCAGCCTCTTCTGAGCTCCGTTGCCACCCGGCGTTGCCGCTTTTGCCATATGGCTTGCCGGCAAAATGGGCAACGCTGGGTGGTCACAACCATAGTGGGTGGGCTGCTACCGTCAGTTGCTAGAGCAAGAGGTCCCCTCAAATGGTGCAAAAGGTGCTCGACAGCTCTGTGAACGGGAAAGCTGGCGCGAGGTAACGAAGAGGCTGTTCCCACCCTGACGGGGGGTTGCTCAAGAGCGAGCGGGGAAGCACCTGCAGCCTTTGAGGAGAGGGGCTGAGGGGATTTTCCACCTTTCTTTATCCTTTGCAGATAAGGGGAAGGGCCACGTTCTCTAACAGCGATGATCTCAAGCCGCGCACAGCAGCCGGGGCAGGCAGGTCCAGCCCCAGACCAT